GAGCTCTTCGTACTGCAATCTCTTTCCTGGGTATTGGACCAGACTGAAGTTTAGTATCTGTGACGGTGCTAGTGATCTGGACTAACCAGCTGCCGGTGATTCTGGACTAACCAAGCTGCCGGTGATCTGGACTTAACCAGCTGCCGGTCGATCTGGACTATACGGCTGCTGCTCTTGTAAAGCTTCTCTATTTTAACTCAACAGACAGAGAGTTTACATCCATCCTTTTATTACACGTCATCGTTGTTAAATGAAAATATTAGTAAATACGTCAACGTATTAAATATAAATATGTCTGTGATGTAGAGTTCCAACCGCTGTGGCTCATGTTCCATGACGTCTCTGTTCTCTGACACAAGATGGAACCTCTCAAAACAAAGATTCACATTGGTTCTCATTCAGTCTCTGAGACGGAAACCGTATGAGCTCTGTAAACGAACGTAGACCAGTACCCTTTAGACTTGAAAAGTCTGGCTAGGACGTTGTCCCTCAGATTTTCCTGCCCTCCTCACCTCGGACTTCTCAGGCTCTGCAAGAAGAAAACATGGAGGTCAACAACGACCTGCACCGCACTGTCATCATCTGCTGTTAACCAGCCCCGTTAACTAGTTTGAACTAACAGCCGAGTTGACTAGAGAATGCTGGGAGGAAAGTATTGGAAAGGGCTCAGACTCTAGTGGTACTTGTGGTGTGGTGTGGTGTCGGTGTGTGTGTGTGTGAATGTGTCTCCAAGAACTGTTGATGAGTGAGTGTGTGTGTGGTGTGAGTGTGTGTGAGTGTGGTGTGTGTGAGTGTGTGTGTGTGTGTGTGATCTGGTGTGTGAGTGTGTGTTGTGTGTGTGTGTGTGTTGAGTGAGTGTGTGTGTGTGTGAGTGTGTGTGTGTGTGTGTGAGTGTGTGGGTGTGAGGAGTGTGTGTGTGTGTGTGTGTGGAGAGTGTGTGTGTGTGGACTTGTGTGGTGTGTGAGTGATGTGTGTGTGTGTGTGTGAGTGTGTGTGTGTGAGAGTGTGTGTGTGTGGACTGTGATGTGTGTGTGTGCAGTGAGGTGTGTGTGTGGTGTGTAGTGCATGTGTGTGTCTGGATGTGATTGTGAGATGTGTGGATGTGTGACTGGTGTGTGTGGTGTGTGCGTGAGTGTGGTGTGTGTGTGTGTCTGTCGTGTGTGTTGTGTGTTGACTGTGTGTCATGTGTGGTGTGATGTGTTGACGTGTGTGTGTGTGTGCGGAGTGGTCGAGTGTGTGTGGTTGTGTGTGTGTGTCTGTGTGTGTGCTGTGTGTGTGTGTGTTGTGTTGTCATGTGTGTGATGTGTTGTGTGAGAGAGTGTGGAGTGTGAGTGTGTGATGTGTGTTGTGTGAGAGGAGGTGGTTGCCGTGAGTGTGTGTGTGTGTGTGTGGTGCAGTAATGCAACAGACCAAACAGTTCGATCAGAAGGAAATTTCCTGAGCGGTCATTACGTTCATAGAATTGAAACATATTGTGTGTGTGTGTGTTATGAGTGAGTGTGTGGCTGTGTGAGTGAATCGTGACGTTGAGTGAGTGAGTGAGTGAGTTGAGTGAGTGAGTGAGTGAGTGTTGTGTGTGTGTGTGTGTGTGTTGTGTGTGTGTGTGTGTGTGTGTGTGAAGTGTGTGTTCACTTTATGACCCCATTGTCACGCTAAACGCTTTAGCATGGACCCCCCCCCCGTCAGGACGTCTGTGGGAAATTGAACCTGTGACTTTTCTTCCAGCAGAAACTTTTCAAACCAAATTCAAACAGTAGAAATCTTCTTCACTTCATTTCATCTTGTTCTGGAGTCACGTTCCTTTATTCTAAAGTTTCTCACCAGTAGTTTTTATTCCTCCAGTGTGTGAGTGTGTGAGTGTCACTCACTCACACACACACACAGACACACACTCACACACTCACACTCACACACACTCTCTCTACGTCAGTGAAACA